GGGAGGTGCATCTATGGGGCCAAGGGTTGGGAGTGGTAGCAGAAGACCTGATGTGACTCTTCATGGTTTTATATCATCAAAATTTTTGTGATGTTAGCAATCCCAAAGTAAACAGTACTTTATTGTCTGCTCTCTTCAGCCTAGAATTGATGACAAGCATTCAAGATGGTTACACTTGCGGATTCGTCCATCCACTTTGCCCTTTATGGATCCTGCTAATTCTGGTAATGGTGCTAATGGAAAAACAAAGATAAAAGTCCTGGTTGATGGGAGATGGACCATAGCATTCAGGGATGATGCATCCTGCAAAACTGCACTGTGTATGATTCTTGAGGAGATTAAACTACAAAACGAGGAGGTGGAGAGAAGAATAAAAGCAGTACTAGACCTTGAAAGAAGCGTGGATTCTTCAAACCCTTCTTTGGTTACCTCAGAGACCTCCTGCTCTAGTTCAACACCTTCCCATTCATTGTAAGTTTCTAACTTGTTTTTTCATTTTTTGAGTTGCAGTTATAGTTTTGCGATGTGCTTAGGGTGAGAACATATTATTTTTCATTGCCCCTTTGCAAGTGTCCATAAGGCAACCCTAGATACACCCTTGATGTAGATTAGCACCTGAGATTTAGTTCCATTCTTTGTATAATATAGCTTCCCTTCCTACGATTTGTTATTTCATAGGGCTTCCCCCTATCATTCTTTAGCAACTCCTTAGGCTCTTCCCCCTTTCCCCTAATTTTGTAAGCTATGTAAAACTGTACATTTGAGATTTTGAGGTGATTAAATAGTGGAAGGCATGCCCATTTCTCAACAAAAAATTAAAAAAAAAAAAATTATTGAAATCTCAAATACCTGGTGATGTTATTAAAAAGTGCATGTTGTAGGGTATATCAATGGTTAGAATGACGAAGAAAAGAATATTAAGAAATTATGTTTCAGGGAAAGAAACTTCTTATTTCAAGTTTCAACCTTAATATATAATTTTGAAAATTAATTTGTTATCTGCTTTTTACAGCATTAGTATATTATTTTTCGATTGGGTTTTCTGTTTACTACTTTACTTTGAACTGCATTAAACTAAAGACTAGGCTAAATTTCAATTTGTTTGGGCAAATTTGGAGTGTAATACAAATGTGAATTCTTTGGTTGTGAATGAGGTTTTTGGTATGGTCGTTAGATCAAAAGAGATCAACACTATAAACGGACCAATTTACTACAACAACATTCAATTTCTACACGTATAAGAAGATGCTGCTTCCATCTAAATGAATCCTGCATTTAACTTAAGGGTGTGTTTGGTATAAATAAATTTTACAAAAACAAAGTATAGAATTCTTTTGTAATTCAGTGCCCATATGTTGGGGTATGATTAAAACACAATAAAAAATCTTAAAACATGAGAATTTATTTTTAAATGAATTCACTTATGAATTTATTTAGAAATAAAATGAATTCTAATTCATTTACATTCCCAACTCAGCCCCAACCGCAGAAACCTGCATTTTTATCAAACTCTGTTCCCTTCTCCCAAAAAAAAAAAAAAATAAAATAAAAATAGAAAGAAGAAAGAAAGATAGCTTGCAATTTGTAGCGCCTAACTGCCTACGTTTTTCCTTGAAAAAGAAATAAAGAAAGAGGTGGTGGAAGGTAGATTAGCAAGATAAAGACCCTCATATGGCCATGAAAATCAACAGATATTTTGTCTTCAATAATTTTCTTTAATATCCAAAGGCAATTTTTTTTTATTTAACACAAGTACTACTGAGATCTCACAAATCAAAATACCAATATATACTATAAAGAATTATTGTGTCCAATCATTCCCCTATGATAGAGCAATCTTTTTCCTAATAAACTATAGGCACAATGCAGAAGTAGGACACTTGAGACCTTTTCTTTTTTTCACAGAGCAATTCAACAATCTTATTATCATTATCTTCACTTCAGTCCAATAAGGATTGAATTATTATGTGTCGTTGTTGCATCATAGGAAGACAGACCCCACTTCCGCCGTTCAATGTAATCATGACTTTTGGCTATTATATGATCCAAGTGGAGGAAGGAATATGTCTTCTTTTTCTCAGTTATGATGATCAAGATATAAATTCACTGATTCCAGTCAAAAAGAACTAGCTGCTTCAACATTTTAATATTGTTGATGTGGATTTTAGTATCCTTTCAAACTCATAACATGACTCACTTCCACTTTCCAAATTATGCCTAAGTGAGAAGGAATTTTCAGTACGAACTAATAAAAAGAATTATTATAAAATAAGGTTAGAAATCCCATTTTTGTGATTACTAATTAATGAAACCTTTCTAAATGTTATCCAACCCTAATTTGATCATTAATGAAAGTTTTTTAATCTTAACAACACATGAACCGTTATTATTAAGGGTTAATGTGAAATCTTTTTTTTGTAAATAAAAGTGAATTTTAATTCAGGTTGACAAATCTTTTTTTTTTGTTATCAGAACTCCTTTTATGCATGGTTAATTATGATTATGTGAAGATTGTGGCAAATTTGAGGTGTAAAGAAAATGAGAAGGAAGAAAGCTGGAAATGAGAAGCAAATAAAGACGATGGAGAAAAAAAACACAAAGGAAATATCCGAACTGTACTCAGTCCATGGAAGAAAGTTGGATTTTGTAGGGAAGGCATGACCCCTCGAATCCATCTTCCATGGCCTGTTCACCTTTACCCCCATAACACAACTTCATTTCAACTATACCCTCTTTCCCGCCCTTTTTAACCGTTTCCAAGCTCCTTTGAAATGTGTATTTCAGCCATTTCTCAAACTGGCTGTTTACAAATGAACCACACCCACCTAAAATTTCATCTAAAACCCTATCTTCTACGCTAAACTCGGTTGCGGTTTCGGCCCCGATTATCTCCTCCATTGATCTCCTCATCTTCTCCGTGAATTCCTCTTTCATTTCACTGTCTTGGGATGGATTTTCATTGAATATGTAGCGGTTTGGTATTGAGTTGAGGAACCTTGAGATGGGGCTTTCTTCAAAATCTTCCTCAACTTTTATGTTCAGATCAAGGGACAGGTCTTTCATGGTGTTTGTTTTTGGACTTTTGGTTTTGTTAGAGAAATCCCACTCTGCCTTTCTCTTGATACTGGTGTTGGGGGATTTTGCATTGACCTTCAATGTCATCTGGATCACGGGATCATGCTTCTTTCTTTCCCCATCTGGATCAGACTTAGTTAAAATGAAAATGGGTTGGCGGCCAATGCTTTCTTTTTTTAGTTCTTCAAATACTTCAGGTAGGCTTTTTGTCAAACGGGCATCCGCCAAATCAACATTTTCCATCAAAACAACGAGCCTTTCTTTGTTCCTCAATGCTCCCATCAGCATCTCTGGAGATGGGGTTGCTTCAGTACCATTTCCCATGTTGATGAGCAAGAGGGAATCGGCAGAGCCAGAAACAGATTCTGCAATGGCGCGAGCCAGTCTTCTTTTTCCTATGGTGTCATTCCCCTGAATCAGTATCCATGTTCCATTCTTGGAGGATTCATCCATCAAGGCCTCCACTATTGAAGGAATGCTTTCAAGTTGCCAAGGCACATTCTCTTGCAGCAATTTACGTAATTCATCTCTTTCAAAGAACTGAGAATTGCCGAGGGAGAGATCAATCTTTACTTCCTTTCCTTCGCTGTTTTTGAGTTGATCCAAACTGGGTTCAGTTCCTTTACCAAAATTGAACTCAAAGGTGCATGAGTTTTGTCGTCGGAATTTGGCCACAAGATGGGAACCAAGTTTTGGCTTGGAGAATGAGACTGAAGGCACTGAATCAGGCAAGATGCTGCTCTGTTTTTGACCAGGCCACCATGCATTATGGGAATAGCTCCAGCTGCTTCTGTTACTGTAAAATGTGGAATTACCCAATTGGTGTAAACTATGGCACAGTCTGCTCCACTTTCTCTTAAGCTCAAGCAATTCCTCCTGCAAATTCAAACAGCGGAGACAAAATTGATTAAAAAAACCTCATCCGGAAGATTGTTTGAAGCCTCAAAGGACAAATGGTATGCTTAATTATTCGGTACCTTTTGGCGACCATGTGACTGCAGCCATGAAGGCAAGAGCTTTTGCTGGTTGGACTTAAACATCTCCGCTTCTTTCTCATAATTTGAAGTACATTCTGCACAGCAAGAGAGATTGTCATTCTCTTCTTTGATACCGAATGGCTTTGTTTCCAGCACTTGAGATGGGTTTGGAGAGACTGTTATCCTTGAATCATGGACACTGCAAATCAGATAATAATGGATTAAACTTTAACCCAAGTCACATGGAGGAGGAATTAATCATAGCATTCTTTGAGAAAATGGAGGCAGCCACTATCAACCAAGGTTGTTTTGTTCCTCAGAAAGAAAACAAAACAACAAAAGCAACCTTGAAAACTTTTTCCTTTTCCTTTTGATTTCTGCTAATTTCAGAAATCTGCAATTGTGCAGGCTATATCCTGACAAAACAAAGTAAAAACACAAGGAAGACAGTGATTCTTATTTCTGTCTCACCAACCCCAGTACTTTTTCAGAGTGGTTTTGGCCTCTTCCACAACAAAAACTTAGAAGCACTTACAAAAGACAGGTACAAGAAAAAGTAAAGCTTCAATGAAGAACCATTAATGGAGGATGAATATGGTGATAAATAATAGTAAACAAGGAGGAAGATGAAACCTGGAAGCATGGAGGGTCAAACCAAGTCCACCTGAGGGAACAGAAACAGCTTGAAGTGCCCATTGGATCTCAAGAGGAGGCTGCTTCATTTGACATCTCATGTATGTTTGGTAACTTGCAGTTGCTACTAACCAAACCTTTGTGTTTGAGCTGTTGTAGTCAGAAACAAGCCTTCCTACTTCTGAAACCAGATGATCAACTGGGTTATAACCAGAGATGAGACTCTCTTCAACAGTCCATCTCAAGTCTCCTGTGTAGATCATGGCACCCCCTCCACCTGCTGTAACAGAATTCACTTTCCTTTTGAGGTCCGTGATATTCATTTCAACATCTTCCTTTTTCATGAGCCTTAAAGCAACTGGTGCAAAATAGAACTTGATAAACTCAGTGTGCTTCATTCCTTCAGGAACATCTCCTCTCTCCACTCTCCCCATCAGCTCTGCTATTAGCCCTTCTGTGATGGACAAAGAGTCACCAACTATAACAGTGTTCTTCCTCTTCTTTCCCAAAAACACCTCAAATACCAATTTAATATCTTCCTTCACAGAAGTTGAATCCGCAACAGGCACTTTCTTTTGAGGTGAAAATAAAAATTGGTTTTGCTCAGAAGAGTAAGCCAAGAAAGGGGTTGGCCAGAAACTGCTCTGAGTTTCAGTAGGGGAAGGAGAACAAGGAGAAGAAAACACTCCACCGGTAGTGCTATAACACTGAAAAACAGAGGAAGCAGAGGAGTCCTCTATGTTGCTCTTGACGGCGGTGCTAGAGAACCCTGCTTCTCTCATAACCCTGCTAACACTAGGGTCATCTAGGATGGATATGATTAGCTGTTCCAACTCTACCTTTATGGTGAGCAAAGGCTGCTGTTGCTGCTGCTCAATGCAACCCCTCCTTTGGTGTGCCTGAGCTCTTTTGAGTGCTGCAATCAGGGCATTTGAGAGAGAGGGCTGACCGTGAAGTGGAGGACCGGTGACGGTCGGCAGTCTGTTGAGAGCCACATTGAAGCAGAGCTCGAGAGCTCTGCATTGGAGAGGATGAGAATTGTGGTGCGGCTGAGACTTGAGACAAGCTCTTCTCAAAAGACTCACCCTTGAAGCTAGCAGCGTGGCGGCGACGTGCAGAGGAGTGACCTGAGCATGGCCTCTCCTCCTCGCCAAGCTAAGAGAGTGCTTCAACACTGAAGCAGCCTCTGTGGTGAGGGTCTGCTGCACTGTACAGGCTCCTGAGCGCATCACTTGGCCAAACACCCACCCCCCACACCACCCCCTTTGCAAAAACTCTTGCTTGCGGCCAAAGTTTCTTCCTTTCTCTACGTTTTTTCTCTTCCACTAATCTCTCCACTCCACCCCTTAACACCACCCCACCCGTGTGTTTTGAGAAAACTGCAAAAGTTTCTTCCTTGATGCTCTCAGTTGCTTCAAGGAAACAGAAACCACACCCACTTGGGATAGCTGAAATCACACAAAAACAAACTTTGCTTCAAAGGAAATGAGATTGTGAGACTTTTGAAAGGAGAGTTTTTGAGAAGGAAGAGGTGAGACCAGATCACCTTCTTTATAGTTTACACTCGCCCTCTTATATTGAATTTTCTTCTCTTTTTGAATACTGCAGCCTTTTCTAGCTCTAGCTTTTTATTTCCACTTCTTTGCTTTCATTTTACAGTTATATACACCGCGCCATTTTACTCGTGTCACACATTTCCCTTAGCCCTCACCTCCCTAATAAAAGCCATATTCGATTTAAGTTCCTTAATACAACTATTAAATGAATTTATTAACTCTATTAATTAACACAGAGCCCTTACTATTTTTAATTATGTATATCAGCAAATGTTCTGGTTATTACAATGCTAAAAGAATTTACTCTGTTCCTAGCAAAAGTGAAGGTGAACGCACTAAACTAGGATAGTGGCATGGTATATGCACATATCATATCTAAAATTATCCTCTCCAAACCCAAGATGATGAAAAGCTGCAAAAGAAGATCTGAAGCTACCCATGATATGCACTTAATATAAAATGTGTATGCCATGCATGAGCAAGAATACAAACTATTAACAATAATTAGTAATTATTTTATTTTATTTTATTTTTTCACTTAATGAAAATATTATTATCGAACTACTTAAATTATTCAAAATTAGTAAATTTTTAAGGATATTTTTATCATAACCCTTATAGCAAATGTTAAGAGTATATTAATGATATTTTTCATCAATTGTTATCAAAAAATAATTATTGACCTTAATTTTAGTAGTTACCTAATTAAAATCAAATATGTGTCATTAATATAAAAAGTGAAGTTATCTTTTGTATTTTCTTATAAAAAAAAATACAATAACATGGATTCGACAAATCCAATTTTTAATTAATCCCGTAGTACGAGATTAATGGGATTCCAATTTCATACATGAAGAAATTAAGGTGGAGAAAAGGACCCACCAAAGAGAAGAATAGAATACCAAAAAAAAACAAAAAACAAAAAAGAAAGAAAAATACTGAGACTAGCTTTTTCCACATCACAGCCTTTGAATGGACAGACAAGACCAGCAGAAATTCAAAAAAAGTGGTAAAGCAAAAAGGTGGAAAGACAGAGTGTGATGAGAGATAAAAAGGAAAGTTGAATAAAAAATTTATTTTTTTGAAACTTTTTCCTTTCTCATGTTTATCATTTTCATTGTTTTATGTATATAAATAAATATATATACATATGTAAAATATGAAACATAATGTTTTTATTCGCTTTTGATTCATCCATTCACGCCAATCCTCGTAGAGAGACAGCATTTTATTCCCCAAGTGAAGTACTCCGAAAAGCAACCCTCTGTCTGCTATGCCTACATAGCATTATTGGTTCTTTTCCAGCAAACTGTATAACCAAAGTCTCATAATCCAACTACTCATCATCTCTTGCAAACTGCATAACTTTTTTTTTTTTTATTAACTTCTTATTATCCGATAATCACGTTAGGTTTCAATTAACTTAAAATCGAGAAATGTTGAACCTCATTAAGGAAAGCTCTCTCAATACTTATTTCTTTATTCACAAAATTTAAACTCGAAACTTTATTTAAGATGAACCAAATTTTTTTTATTTAGATCAATAGATCGGTGGTAAACTACGTAACCTTTTGTTTTAATTAAAATATCTCTGTAAAACTTACACATACATGAGTGGATACTAATTTGTAAAGTTTATATAAGTTTCCACGTGTTAATTTCTCGAGTTTATGTTACATGATTTTCTTCTTTTTTTTTTCAAAATAAAGGAGGTGTGACCTTGAAAATTTTATAGGATGAGTCATGCGAATTTTTTTTTTTTTTTTGGGTATATATATAAAGCACTCAAAAAGTTTGCAAAATTCAATTAGTCTTTTGTAAAATCAATCACATCAATTATAAGCTACATATCAAAGTTTTAAGGGCACACATAAAAAATTATGAAGTCTAAAGATATAGAGTAACCAATATTCAAGAGGAAATCAACACACATATTAAACTCCGTGTAGTTATGTTTGATCTAGGTATTGTTAAGCTTGCCAAGCAACTCTCTGTAATATAAAATAATTAATTTAAGGGAACTCAGGGGGTGGGGAACTCATAGAGTTATGATGAGAATAGACACTACTAGTCTTTAAAATGCAAAACATCACTTTACACAGGATAATTCCATTGTGGGGTTACTACTTAATGATGGTAAACTAAATGAATGTAAACCTCTGCTTTGAAGGTTTATGTGTTCAAACTTAGAAGAGGACAGAGGATCAGAAAGTTAAAATGAAAAGGAAAAGAGGCTTGACGTTTGAATGGCATCAACTCCAAACATGAGATAAAGGATGGATTCAAAGGTTATTTTCCCAAGTTTTTATTGCATTGAAAGGAGCCAAAGGAAAAGTGCTTCCTTTGAAAGTAATATTAGGAAAGAATTTTCAACTCTGGAGGCGATATCATCATTCATTTAAGCAAGTTGTGGCTTTCAACATTCCTTTAAATTTAAATGTATTTATAATTATTTTTACTTCATCTATAACAATAGTATAAGAAAAAGTACGCATCAACTTTTACTTTGAAAAAAAAATTAGATTATCAACTTTAAATAATGTTATTTTATTTAATTAAAATTTAATTTAAAATTTAAAAATCTACTTTATTAAATGTTAATGCTTAGGTTTGAAAACTAATTATATATTCTAATAACTAGTTTCTAAATCTATATATATTAATATTTAATAAGGTAAATTTTTAAAATTTTAAATTGAGTTTTCGGTTTCTAAATGTAGGAATAAACATTTAATAAGGTAGATACTTGAATTTTAAATTAATTTTTTATTAAATAAAATGATATTATTTATGATTAGAATTCTAATTTTTATTGAAAGTTAGAACTGATATACATTATGCTCTATAAGCAATTTCTTTTAAACTTACTCTTTCTTTCCTACAACTAAAAGCTTAAAATAGGGAAAAAAATTAATGCATATATCTTATAATTGTTTAAATGGTTTGTCTAAACGGTTAAGTCTCATTAATTACAATATTATTAACTAATTTTATACAAATTTTTATATCAAACTTATATCTTTTTTACAGATTTCAAGTATAAATGTTTTATTAAATTTTAATTTTACATTTTATATTTTATTTTAATTGAATTTTGTTTGGAAATTTGTGCAAAATTAATTACAAACACCACAATTAATAACTTTTAACCTGTGTCCTTAGAAAATCTCTTACTTAAATATTAGTAAATTTGAGATAAAAATCTAATTAAAAACAAGGATATGGTGAGATGATGAGAGTAATTAAGGATAAAATAATTAAGACGCAATGATTCTATTAAAAAAAGAAAGGAATAACACAATTAAGGTTATGTAATTAACGAAGTGGGGGGCACTCCCTTTGAACAAATGGAGCACTCCAATCTCCAATCTCCAATCTCCAATCTCCAGAGGCTTGATTAATTGTGGTAAAGAGAAAGAGGAGTGTCCAAATCATTGGATGATAATTCTTCCAAAGGTTAAAGGCAATTGGGTTCCTCTAGTTAGAAGAAAAGTATCCCTTTATGAATTAATTGAGAGACAGTGGCTGTACAATTTTCAGATGCAAATGATTTGGTTCACATTTTGCCTAACAAATTTTCAACAAAGTAGAACAAGATAATTCCCAGGCTAAATTAATATGGGACATTCAGGCCCACTTCACCAAAGTTAGAGGGTAAGGTAACAAATTCAAGTTTACATTACAAGAAATTCAAATAATCTCTTTAGTCAAGTCAAATTCATATTGCTTTCAAAAAAAAAGAAGCATTTCTTCAACCGTTGAGTAACTTGCGTAGTAGAATCGTTTGCATGTTTTTAGCTTCTAATAGGGTATGCTCTTGACAACAACGTAAGCGGCGCAGTATTAATTTCCTTATTAAGGGATAATGGGTTTGAGTCAAAAGAATGCAAATGGGGTTAATTAATAAAAAAAAAAAAGAAGTTATTTTTTATCATACGATTAAAAAAAATGTGTGTTTTTCTTCTTATTCTTTTTTTTACTGTTTTTAATGTTTTTATAAAAAAAATCCATAAAATATCATTTGAGTATAATCGTAATCTCAAATGTTTAAAAGATGAAATTTAGGTCATTAATTCTGTGTTTATATATTGATTTAAATATTTCTAGGGCTCAATTGACAGAAAACAATATTTTGAGGGATGCCAAGATTAGAATTTTCCCCTCAAACATTTCCTGGATTTTCCTGGGGCCTATTAGACGACATGTCCTGTATAATTTTAATTTTTCCACCAAAAACTCTTTGTTTCCACGTCAGTACATAAAAATGAGAAGTTGTAATGGAAACTTTCAGCTAAGTGGCTTTGATCTAACTACTCTTTTGAGACCTTCAAGACACAAAAAGGGTGGACTAGAAGCCGCCAAGAAGTATTTTAGATGGCCCCGTCTTCAATTAAATTAAAAATATGACTTTAATATGGTGTGTGGAAGTTAATAGTACACAATATTTTTTAATATGGTGTGGGGAAGTTAATTGCACACGATATCATCTAATCACTATATAAAAAAATTAAGGTTAATATTGTTTACACATAGTTAGGGAAAAAAAAAAAGAGAGAGAAGAAAAGACAACATTATGTACCTAACTCGGCTTGCTAGAAGTGAGTAATTAAGTGTAAGCATTTGTTAATTGTTTTTGTAAACTTAAGAAAAAATTATGCAATAAGAGATAGTCTTTACTATTTAAAAATTTCTCAACTATCTTAAGATTTTAAATTTATAATCTTAGGATACAAGGACAACATACATTAATCCATCACAATATCACATATATGATATACCCCTTTCCTCCACGTAGCTAGTCATGTATACAAGAAATGTTTATAAGGATTACCATGAAGGGAGGAGGGATAAACAGAGGCAAAACATATGTATCTTAGATGCCTATGAAGTATATGAACTCTATAAAAAAAATTTGACCTTTTTTTTTTTTTTATGTAACAAATTTGACTAATTAAGATGTAGCATGAATTGATTTTGCATCAATTTGGCATTGGTATGGTCCCCATATAAAGTTTGAACTCAATCACTTGACTACGATTAAATGCCAATGGATTGTATCTATGCATGAACTCTAACAACTGCTAAACCAAGGAGATGCATGCATGGCTTCCTTGTACCCAAAAAAAAAAAGAAAAAAAAAGTGGTGGGTGGGGGGAGGGGCGGAAGGAAGGAATGGGTTCCCATGCTAATTAAGTGGGGCTAAGCAATTACTCCCACCTTTTTCAAATTTTCAATTACTCCGCAAATCATTTGCAGAATGATGCACGTTTTAAACAAAATATTTTCATGACTGTCCGCACAATATAATTACATAAAATGAAAAAGAAAAATTAAGAGTTCCTACGATTAAAAATATTAATATTTAATTACAGTAACATAATAGAAGATTTTAATT